GATCCATGGCATCATGCTGTGGCTGAGAGGTGGTGGCTGCAGTCAGTCTGTGTAGTGTAGTCCATGTGGGGTTCGGGGCACAGTGGGGCCATTCTAGTAGGTTGTATGGAGCTGTCCCATAGGGAGGTGGTCACCAGGAGACGGTCGCATAAGGCAGATATCTGGATTGACTGCATTGGGGAACTGGTAGGAGGTAGAGAACTTGAAATTGTGTCAAGGTTGACTGAGCCCTGCTTCTGGTATGAGAAAGTTAAACCCGTGTTCAAAATGGATGCTGAGGTAACAAAATTATAAGAATTTGCTACAACAAGCAACTGTACACTTAATGGTTATTATATATGGAGATGATGTGTGCAAGATTGATTATTCTCCTATAGACAGCTTGTCACTGTCCCTCGTGTGGAACTGTCCATCATTAGTATCCTTGTCTGGCAGTATCCTCTCTGTCATAGGTTCACTTACCTTACATAGATGCCAGGGTTTCAGAATTTCTTATTTTTCATGGGTCTATCTGTTCAACTCTCTGTGACTGCCAAAATGTCCTGATTATTTCAAAGCCTTGATGTGTGGTAGAGAAAGTGCCCCACTATTTTAGTAACTTTGGGCTGCTGTAATAAATTACTGCTATTATTTTTTTGAGACAGGGTCTTGCTCTGTTGCCTGGGCTAGAGTGCACTGGTATCATAGCTCACTGCAACCCCCAGCATCTAGGCTCAAGTGATCCTTCCACCTTGGCCTCCCACAGTGCTGGGATTACAGGCATGAGCCACTGTGCCTGACCTAGAAATAGCTTTTCTTAAGTTCAGCAACATACCAAACAAATCTGGTTGTGAATTTCATGGAATTTAATAAAACACTATATATACTTGGGAGAAGTTATATCATGGTGATATTCACTCTGTTTCTGAGGACATATGTCATATCTCCATGTGTTTCTTTCTAAATTGATGTCTTTCAGTGTATACTTTCCCATTATAATAATTTTATACCCTCATTGGACATTTTTTAGGACTTAATTTTTTTGTGTATTGAGTTTGCATTGTGAAAACTTACTAAACATGTTGCATATGAGGAAATTATATAAAACAATTGCACAGTAACTGAAACATTGTAAAGGGAATGTCCTTCTAATGACAACTAGCCCAAGACTTTGGAGAAGACTTACTGCCACTTGTCCCTCTTAAAATGACTCCTAGAGGCCAGATCATCCCATTTCTCTCCAGATGGGGCCAGTTTATGGATTATAACATAATTTTCTTTTCTCAACTGTGTATTTAACCCCATGTTTTATTTTTGCATGAATCTTATACAAATGGTATCATACTGTGTATGTATTGTAAATGTCAGGTTTCTTTTTTTGCACAGTTTTGAATCTTGCATGGAATGGCAGTTTGCCTTCAAAAATTAAAAATTTCTTTTTTTTCTTTTTTGAGACAGAGTCTTGTTCTCTTACCCAGGCTGAGTGCAGTGACGCCGCCCACTCTAGCCTCAAACTCTTGGGCTCAAGTGATCCTTCCGCCTTAGCCTCTTAAGTAGCTAGGACTACAGGTGTGCGCCACCACCCATGCCTGGCTCATTTTTAATTTTTTGTAGCGTTGGAGTCTTACAGTGTTGCCTAGGCTAGTCCAGAACTCCTGGCCTCAAGGAGTCCTCCCACCCTGGCCTCCCAAAATGCTGGGTTACAGGTGTGAGCCACTGCACTGTTTTATTTTTTTTTAATTAATAGTTAACAGAATAATAGAGCAGATTATTACAGAGTTCCTGTAGACTTCTTTTCCGTAGTAGCATTTAGTTTCCTCTGTTTTTAACATCTTGCCTTAGGTATGGTGTATTTGTTACAATGATGAACCAACATATTACATCTGATGTTGAGAATTGAAAAACTGTTAACATTGTTATTAACTAAAGTTCATACTTTATGTTAGGGTTCATTCTGTTGTACAGTTCTGTGAGTTTTGATAAATGAATGTGTCATATACCCAGCACCACAGTGTCCACAGTGTCATATAGAATAGTTTCATGGTCCTAAAAATCCCTTGTACTCTACCTTCCCCCCCCTCCCGAAAAAGGGTCTCACTCTGTTGCCCAGGCTACAATGAATTGGCATCATTATAGCTCTCTGTAGCCTCAAACTCAAACTCCTGGGCTCAGGAGAGGCTCAGGTGATCCTCTTGCTTCAGCCTCCTAAGTATCTGAAACTATAGGTGAGGGCCACCACACTGTCTAATTTTTTTTATTTTTGTAGAGATGGGGTCTCCCTATTGTCCATGCTGGTCTGGAAATCATGGCCTGAAGCAGTCCTCCTGCCTTGGCCTCCCAAAGTGCTGGGGTTACAGGCATGAGCCACTGCCTGGCCCTCTACCTATTCATCACTGTTCCTTTCCCCTAACCCCTGCCCCCCACTATTTCTTTATCCACTTTAAAAATGAGTAGAAGGACAGAGAAGCAGACAGAGTTCCATCAGGTAGATGCAGACGGTCACGCCCTCCCCAGACACTGAATGTCTGCAGTTTCTCTGGGGGGAGGCGGCTGAGGACAGGTCCTAGCCCCTGGATGTTTCTTGTGTCTCAGCATCCAGTGGTGATGATGGGGAAGCCCAGGGCGGTGGCCAAGGCCCCGTTATTCCCCACCTTGCACCACAGCAAATCCCAGCGAGAACCTCTTCTCCACCATCCACCAGTGGCTTCATCCTGGGGAGACCCCAGGCACAGACAGATAAAGGGTGGTGACCCCACTATCATCAACCCCGATGTCAGGAAGGTCCTGGAGATGCTCCTTACCTAGAGAGCGAACTGAAGCTGTGGAAGGAGGAAGAGAAGGAGGGGTCATTTCTGCAACACTTGAGCCCAGACTGCCCCCCGGGTTCTCTGGGGAATATGTTAAAGTCAGAGGTCTGGGAGCCAGACACCAAGACCCCACACTTCTTCTGGAATGTGGGAGACAACCCAGAGTAGCTGCCCAGGCCTCACCAGCTCCCCCATGCTGCATCGCTGCGTTTCCTTCCGTGAAGTCCCCGAGGCTTTTCCACTGGAAACTCAGGCTCATGCATCTTCACAGCCTCCCCAGGCCCAGCCCTGGCCCCGCCCCATGACCCAGCCCCAGCCTTGCTCTCAAACCAGTCAGGGTCAGGACTGATTCCTCTGTTGTCACCTCCTCTCCTGGACCTCTTCAAGAACGTTCTCCCAGGAAATTGTCAACCTCACCTATAGAGTCATACCCAAACTCACTGATGGCCCAGGAGGGAAAAGCAGAGTGTGGAAGGGGCCAGGGCCGAGCCTTGAGTTTTATGGGCTCCAGGGACTGGGGTTTGAGCCCCACCTGTGCCTTACCTGGAACCTTACAGTGTGAACTTCGAGTATTTGTTGAGTGTATGGATGGACGAAGAAAAGCTCCCAGGAGGTGTACACATAGCATTTTTTATCCCTCCAGGATGGTAGATTGTGGGTTTTGTGTGGGCATCAGACTTGGGAACAGCACGGCTGGCAGGAAGCCCAGGCCCCACATACCACAGTCACACGATCGGACAGTCACACAGTCGGACAACTCAAAAAGGCCCCAGGGTAAAATTTCCTCTGCTTTTATTGAGTTCTCTAAGTTTAGGTATATTGTGTTTTCATTTTCATTTCTGTCTATTTTTCTGGTTTCTCTTGTTATTTCTTTTTTTTTTTTTTTTTTAGACAGAATCTCGGTTTGTTGCCCAGGCTAGAGTGAGTGCCGTGGCGTCAGCCTAGCTCACAGCAACCTCAAACTCCTGAACTCAAGCAATCCTTCTGCCTCAGCCTCCTGAGTAGCTGGGACTACAGGCATGCGCCACCATGCCCGGCTAATTTTTTCTATATATTTTTAGTTGGCCGATTAGTTTATTTCTATTTTTAGTAGAGATGGGGTCTTGCTCTTGCTCAGGCTGGTTTCGAACTCCTGACCTTGAGTGATCCGCTAGCCTGGCCTCCCAAAGTGCTAGGGTTACAGGCGTGGGCCACCACGGCCGGCCAGTTTCCACAGATTTGTGAATTCTTTAGTTTTCATTGTGTTCTAAGTTCATCTCATGTAGTTAGAGGAGATAATTTGTATATCTATATTTTTATTTAATTTTTTGTATTTTATATTTTAGTTTATTATATGTAAACAGTGTAAAATTTATATTGTTCATATTTAAATGTGTATTATAAAATCATATTTTTAATTTATAATATTTTTTATTATTTTTTTTAAATCTATTGAGACTTAATTCTTTCACCACTACTATACAACATAATACTGGATGTTCTAGCCAGAGTAATTAGGCAAGAAAAAGAAATTAAATATATCCAAATTTGACAGAAAAATAAGAAATTATTACTGTTTATAGATATTATGATCTTATATGTAGAAAAACCAAAGGATTCCATACCCCACAAGAAAAAAACATTTAGAAGTAATAAATGAATTTAGTAAATTAGCAGAATACGAAATGAACCTGCAAAAATCTGTCATATTTCTATATACTGTCACTGAACGATCCAAAATGGGGATTAGGAAAATATTTCCTCCCATATACTTTGAATCCTCTCTAGATCACTTGTAATACCTAATACCATATAAATCCTGTATAAATAGTTATTATACTATATTGTTTAGGGAATAATGACAAGAAAAAAAGTCTGTAGGTATTTAATACACACCTAACCATTGTAGACCTTACTAGATGATATACAATTGGCTCATTTGAAGGTTGGTTAAGTCCATGGATGAAGAATCAATCCCTGTGCACAGAGGACTGACTGTCATCCATCAGTGGATGAATGGATCAACAAAATGTGTAATATCCATACCATGGAATATAATTCCGCTATAAAAACAAAGTAGTGGCCGGGCGCGGTGGCTCACGCCTGTAATCCTAGCTCTCTGGGAGGCCGAGCCGGGCGGATCGTTTGAGTTCAGGAGTTCGAAACCAACCTGAGCAAGAGCGAGACCCCGTCTCTACTATAAATAGAAAAAAAAATTAATTGGCCAACTAATATATATAGAAAAAAAAAAAAAACAAAGTAGTGGAACCTGTTATGACATGGATGTCCCTTGAAAAACCTATACTACTTGAGAGAGGTCAGCCACACGCACCGCATGTGACATGATTCTGTTTATGTGAAAGTCCAGAATAGGGAAATCTACAGAAGAAGAAGAAGAATTACTGGTTTTCAAGGGCTAGGGATTTGGGGAGGAAGAAGGGAGGGTAGGAGAGACAGGTAAAGCAGACAGGGGTTTCCTTTTTTTTTTCTTCCTCATTTTTCATCATCAAAGGGATATAAAATTTTAAATAAAATGAAATGAATAAAGTAATCTGTGGAGCAGGCCTAATCCCTTTTCCTGCATTAAGTTGAATGAAGTGTAACAGCCTGGGAAACTTAGGCAAGGGCCTAAAGGTCATGAAGAACGAAATATTCACGACCCTGGTACCATCTGAAGATGAGGGGTTTCTTTTTGAGGAGATGAAAATTAACCATGGTGGTGATTACATGTATCTGAATATATTAATACTAAAATCTGTTAAAAATGTTAAATTTCCAAATTCATTCCACATTTATATAACCTGTTATTGTTTTTCTTATATTTACCAATGAGAATAAAAATTCAGTTGCCTTAGAGATATCGCAACTGTCACTCAGGCTAGAGGGGGCGGGGCCGCAGGAACTGTCCAATCAGACGCACCGTGGGGAGGGGGAGGGCGTCCCTATTGTGACGTCACTGAGCCTGTTTCATCTGCCCCTGGCAGTATCTACCTTGACTTCTGTTGTGCTGTGACCTGCAGTGGTCGCAGGCGCCGGAGGGAGGACACTGGGACACCCCTGAAGCCGGCAGATGGTGCGTGCGCAGGGCGGGCGACTGCACCATCAGGAGGACCTGATTGGAACTGGCTGGAACCAGCTGTGATGGGACCTAGGCTTCACAGCGGTCAGCTCCAGGGTCTGCAGTTTGGCCGTCGGCCCCCTCCAGCCCGCACGGTGGGGCTGGGCCAGCAGCCGGGACCCCAGGTGTCCTATTTCGTCCCTACACGTGGTAACCTGAGCCTTAGCCCGGCAGCCTTGCGTCTGCCCCAGATTGTGCTGTGACGACGGGAGAGTGATCAAGGGAGGATCCCCACTCGGTGTGTGGGGTTTGTGGTGAGGGCTGTGGTCCTTGGGGTCCCTAGTCTCTACTTTCACCCCACAGAGACCGATCTCCCTCCATGTCTTCAAAAGGTCTTGGAAGCAGGGTCTCAAATCCACCATCCTGTCCCCCAGCCCACCTTGTCCTAAGGCTGGGAATCCCTAAATACCCAGATCCCATCCCATATTACCTAAGGCTTACTTCCCCTCTCCAGTTGACAGCATCATGTTCAACTATTTGTCTTTCATTCTGTGTTTCAAACGCATGTGGCATTTTAATTATAATTTTCCCACAGAACTATAGATGACTTTTTAAAAAAGATTTATCTTTGTTGTGGGTATTTTACATGAGGGTAAAGCAGAGAATAACCAGCTGGAAGTGGTACCTTGTCTAAAATCTTTGTACTTCTCCTCCCGGTTTCTTTATGGCACCAAACATCCCATGAGAACTTCTTTTGTTACCTCCCAACAGAGGGGTTTGTTCACATGGCAGGATAAGGCCAGTAGACAGCCAACTTGGTTATAGCAAGGGGGCTTTATTACTTGGCACAAGTAAAGAGCACACCAGGAATAGTTCCCAAAGTAGTGTGTCCCCAAATAAGGGTTTTATAGTCAGAGGGTAATAAGGAGTGATCTGATTGGATCTTGCAATGAGGTGATGCTGGGAGGCATGATCTGACTGGATCCTGGACACTACCATGCAGTGTCTGTGTCTTAATTCAGTTCCTGCTCCTCAGTCCAAACACTTAAGTTTTTGTGGTTGCACGCTTGGTTCATCTGGGCATGCTCATGAGCTTCAACCCTTGCTGGAGGTCCATGGCAACTGAAAAACAACTCACAACTTTGTTCAGGCTGGGGTGTGGCTCACGCCTGTAATCCTAGCACTTTGGGAGGCCGAGCGGGCAGATTGCTCGGTCAGGAGTTCGAAACCAGCCTGACGAGGACGCACCGTCTCTACC